GTCCCCTCCCCCCCCCCAACATGGGGGTCACTCACAAACACAATGTGCATGGGAAAACTAGGTTCAAAGCTTTTTGTTTTTGTCCTTAGGACAAGTTTAATGGAGCTCCAAAATGGTTTAATGGAGCTCCAAAATGTCAGATGGGCTGGAGACCTGAAACTGACTATGATACAAACATCGTTAAACAGTATTTGGTCATTAGAAAGTGAGAGGGAGAAACACAGCAACCTTAACCCAGTCATTAGGCTGCCACCCTGCATGAGGAAGGAATGATCTCAGATTCAGGTCCTGTGAAGAAAGGACTACCAACACAGTAACGGCCATGTTGTGCGATGACTAATATCGATAAACTTAACCCTTCTGAACATTACAGGGATCTAAGACACCTCCAGAGGTCTCGGGATGGAAAATGCTGTTCACAGCCAAAGAAAGAACTATGGAAGTTGAATCGCTATTTTTTTCTCTTCTGTTCAGTTTTGTTTCATCTTTCTGATGGTTCCTCTTATTGGTTTTAATTTTTACTTACAACACCACTAATGTGAAAATATGTCTAATAGGAATGTAAATGTATAGCCTATATTAGATTGTGTGCCATCTTGGGGAAGGTGGTAGGGAGGAAGGGGGAGAAAAATTTTAAACTCAAAAGCATATGGAAGTGATTGTTGATCAATCAAAATAAACTAATAAAATTTTAAAAAAAAGGACTACTAAACCTACATTACACTATCTTGGTTCAGTCTTCTAAGGCCTTGGAGTTTTAAAGCAGGCATGAAGGTATCAAACATTTGTCCACTCTTTACATGAAGAAGGCAAGCTAAGTCTGCCTCCCTGAGGCATCGAGCAGAGAACAGTTCACTTCCCTTGGAGAAATACTCCCCCCTCCTACTCTGTACTGCATCGAAGGCTTTGTTGTGGTGCTCCAAGTGTGACAGCCTTGTGGACATACTTCATCATGACTGTCAGGCAGGTCACTGGTAGTGATCTGGCAAATGATCTTATCAAGCAAGGAGAAGAGACCCTTGAATGAAATTCCCTTGTTTGCCTTTAAGACTCTAATTTTTAGGGCAGCTAGGTGATGCACCGGCCCTGGGGTCAGAAGGACCTGAGTTCAGATCAGCCTCAGACACATAACGCTCACTAGCAGTGTCACCCCAATTGTCTCACCAGTGCATTTTGGGCCAGGGACCACTGGGATATTCATGGTTCTCAGTCTGCCCTGCTTCTTGGGGTACTGCAGCTCTGCTTGGGCACAGCATTTCCACTGGTTAGGCTACTCAGGGGACTCCCAAGTTCTCTTCCCCTCTGTGGCAAGACTCTTCTCGGCTGAGAGGGCTTCCAGGTTCGATGCTGCTTCTTCCCACGGGTGGCTGTCTCTTCATATCCGTGTCTGCCTCAGTTGTACCCCAAAATGTCTCATACAAACACATCCTTGATCTGCTCGATGCGGCCTCTCCCTCCAGCCAAATCCCTGCTTGGTCCTGTGGACAGACGGCAGGGAGGGAGAGAAGGAAGAGATTTTCTCCCCACATGCAGAAGTCTATTCCACAAAGTGTTCCTGAGCCTGACTGCTTCAGCCTCCTCAAGGCTTAGCTATTTAAAGCTTCCAGAAGGGTGGCTAATTTGTTTTTTGTTTTTTTAGCCAAAACGGTTTCTTTTCTCAGGCTTAAACCTCATGAATGGATCATAGAGAAGACATATCTTATTTCCACATTGCAACCCCATCATGTACAGTAACAGGTGGAGGCAGGTGTCAGTCAATAAACATTTATTAAATACCTGCCATGTGCCAACCGCTGTTCCGAGTGCTGGGACACACAAAGAAGCAAAACCATTCCTGGCCTCATGCCACTCCCAGTGTAATGGGGCGGGCAGGCGGGTGGAACGCAAGCCAATGTACAAACAAGCTATGTGCGGTGGTGGAGGGGAGGAGAGACTGCTGAGAGGAGGGGCGGCACCAGGATGAAGAGGGGCCGGGAAAGGCTTCCTGCAGAAGACGGGATTTGAGTTGGGAGCCGAAGGAATCCACAAGGAGGAGATGCAGAGGGAGAGCATTCTGCGCGTGGGGAACAGGCAGAGAAGACGTTCAGAGCCTCGAGATGGAGGACGCGGGGAAGAGCCGCCTTTCCTCTTACACATGTAGAAGACAAAAGCGAACACTTCTTGGTTGGCAGCCAGTCATTTATAAATTAATCTTTTTTTAGATCAAAGGTTCCTTCTTTTGAAAACTTTAGACTTCCTAGTAGTCTCCAATATGCCAATTCCACTTGTCTCTAAATTATCAAGTTTCTTTCATGAAGTGGGTGTGTGTAGTATGCTATCTGTGGGAAAGAGCTATTTTATCCTTCAACATCCTCCTTTTTCCATACTTGTATTTCCCGTCTTGTAGGTTCTTTTAGCCTTTTCCACTGAACATTCCATTTGGAAGCTCATCAGGCCAGAGGAGCCTGTTCTGGGCTTCAGTGGCTCAGGGCATCACTGGATGCCAGGAATGTGGCTAAGCCTCAGTCGAATGACAAGGAAGCTCATCTCCTTCTGGCCACACATGTGCCTGCTCCACTGCATTTCTTACTTTCCTCATTAGCTTTTTGTCTAAACCAGGGGTCAGCTTGCTATATCTCAAAGGCCAAATCTGGCCTACTACTTGCTTTTATATAGCTTGCAAGCTAACAATTACTGTAGTTTGCCAAGTCCTGGTCTGGATAATAGACTTTTAGTCTATATAGAAACACAGAACAAATCCACATGTGCTAAAGGATGTGGGGGGGAAAACCAGATTTGCCATTTATATGCTATTTGGGAAGCCCTGGACAAAGAGAAATTAGACGCATGGCATCCTGCTGCTCACTGCCTGAGGCCAGTAGTCTCAGGGTTGGTGTGTCCAGTGCTAAGGAGGACAAGGAAAAGTCCCGGTCTCCAAGTGAGAAGGTTGGGCCCATTTCCCTTGTTTCTGAAGCACGTTCATTCAGTCCTCCAGTCCTCCTGAGTCCTTGGGTCCTCCCGAGGTAAAATATTTGTAAAAAGCACTTAGGCCAGTGCCTGGCACATAATAGGTATGACATAAATGCTTATTCCCTTCTCTTCCCTTTCCCTAATGGTGTCACAGGGTACAAGGTGGCTCAGGTTCAACTTAGTTTTTGATCAGGTTGATACTATAGGAAGGACTTTTACCAGCATGGTTTAGGCCTTAAAATGTACCGCATGTAAGGTGGTCACAGACACAGATGTGGAAATAAACATACACACGAATACTCCTCAGTGTGTTTGATAGATTTAGATTTTTCTAACAGTCATATTCTGTGAGCTTAAGGGAGGAGTCAGCACAACTAGGCAGTTGCACTCTGAAAAACAACCACAAGACGAAACTCTTTAATGGTTTTGAAAGGTCTCAGCTCTATTTGGTAGCTATAAAGTTTCTTGAAGAGCCATACAGAGTCATACTGGTTTCTATTAGGAACTGGAATTCAGATAGCAAGGAACCAATTATTTAACTGTGGAACAAAATCTCTGTATTAATGTAGCCAAAGTCCACCAGAAACAGTTTATTTATATGTGAGCATTCCTGTTCAGAGAGAGCTAACCAGGCAACTTTTCCTCTGCTGATCGGTGTTCTCTCTCTCTCTCTCTCTTTAGTAGCACTAAACCAAAAGACAAAACACCACAGCAAGGCCAAAGAATGGGGCCCAGCTGAAGATTTTTGGGTGAACCTGAGCATAGCGATGGTCAAGGTTAAGTTGGCCACGCCCTTAAAGAAACATCTTCCCCACACCAATGATTCCTTCCACTGCTTCCCTTTCAGGCTGGTCAAAGGCGAACAGAGAGAAGAAGCTGTCGTCTCAGTTTAAACAAAGATGCTTCTGCTCTTCCCCTGGTCACCATAAATGAGACTAAGTCTTAGTTTCAAGAAATCAAAGTCCTGGACGGCTGATAAGGCCTCTTGATGCGAGTCAGACCAAGTGCTTTGTAATGCTCACTTTCCCCCAAAAGACTTTACATTGTTTCCATGATTGAAACTTTAGTTCTCTATGTTTCCATAGCTGATTGACCTTGTCACCAAGCAATTCTAGAAGAATAAGATTCAGATAAAAGACAGTGCTTACAGCAGCATTCTACCATCTTATGTGAAGAAATAAACAAAATTTTTAACTTTGTTGAGACCTATTCCCCTCTTCAAAGGAAGAGGGTTATTTTTTTCCCCCTTTTATCATTCCAATTTGGACTGCAGTGGTCTGTAGGTAGACTATTAGGGTATATAAGCTATTTCAATTAAGGAAATAATTAAGTTCTGATTTAGAGAAACTGAGGAAGTTTTTTTCCCTACAATTCTTGTAGTTTGCTGTTGCTTAGAAACTGGAAGAGAAAAGTCAGCACTGCCCAGGGGGGCAGAGATGGGTCACAGTAGATCCATCCCTATGTCCCTCCTGTTCTTTTTGCTCTACTTGCCACTGGGAAACAACCCTAAATGAAAGCACTGAGCCTCTTCTCCAAGCAGACCCTTCTGCTTATCTCCCTTGGCCATAAGTTTCTTAACTGACAAATGGTATCAATACTGACTGACTTCCAGCAACCTATATTGCTCACCTATGAAACACAACTTCCCTTTCAGGTATGCAAATTAAATACCAAATTCCCTTTCCAGGCCAACAGCACCCCCCCCACACACCTTTTTTAGATAGTGATGGCTTATGACTATGCTATAATAGGGATCCCAAGAATCTCTCACTGCAAATCTCAGTCCAAAGAGCATTCTTAAGGATTGTTGGATTATTTCCACTAAGATGGCCCCCCAAAATGTCCAGAATAACAGCTGGTCAGAAAACATGGCAGAAGAAAGTGGATCTCTGAGCCCATATCTAGCTTGTTATTTCTGGCCTCCCTCTTATAAGCTCCCCTTTGATATCAATTAGTCACCAAGAGTCATCTCTCAAAAATACTCATACCTTTAAGCACAAGGTTTCTCATGAATATGAATTTTCTAATGTTGAATAACTCTTACCCTCTGATAACATGCCTTCTCATATTTATAATGTTTAAAAGGTTTCTCTCCAGGATGAGATTTTGAATCTTTGATGTTGAATGAGAACTGCCTTCTAGCCAAAGGCTTTCCACATTCATTAATTATGTTCATGATTTCTCTCCAGTATGAATTGTCTGATGTTGAATGAGTGCTACCTTCCACTGAAAGGCTGTATCACATTCATTACATTCATAAGGTTTCTTACCAGTGTCAGTTCTCTGATGTCGAGTAAGATCTATCCACTGACTGAAAGCCTTCCCACTTTCATTACATTCATAAGGTTTTTCACCAGTATGAATTCTCTGATGTTGCATAAGCTGTGCTCTAAGGCAGAAGGCCTTACCACATTCGTTACATTCATGAGGTTTCTCACCAGTATGAATTGTCTGATGGTGAGTAAGTCCTATCTTCTGGCTAAAGGCCTTCCCACATTCACCACATTTATACAGTTTCTCTCCAACATGAATTCTACTATGCTGTTTAAGTAGTGGCCTATGACTGAAGGTCTTCCCATATACTTTACATTTATACAGTTTTTCCAACAGTATGAATTCTCCGATGGTGAGTAAGTCCTATCCTCTGAATGAAAGCCTGACCACATGCATTACATTCATAAGGTTTCCCTTCAGTATGAGTTCTTTGATGTTGAGTAAGCTGTGATCTCAATCGGAAGGCCTTCCCACATTGAATGCACTGAAAAGGTTTCTCACCACTGTGAATTGTCTGATGGTTATTAAGTCCTATCCTCTGGCTAAAGGCCTTTCCACATTCATTACATTCATAAGGTTTCTCTTCAGTATGGATTCTCCGATGTCGAGTAAGTCCTATCCACTGGCTGAAAGCTTTGCCACATTCATTACATCCATAAGGTTTCTCACCAGTATGAATCCTCTGATGCTGAATAAGTCCTACCCTTTGACAGAAGGCCTTTCCACATTCATTACATTTATAAGGTTTCTCACCAGTATGAACTGTCTGATGTTTAGTAAGCCCTGTTTTCCACCTGAAAGCCTTCCCACATTCATTACAGTCATAAGCCTTCTCTCCAGTATGAATTCTATGTTTTTTGAGATTTTGATTTTGAGCAAAGGCCTTCCCACATTCATCACATTTAAAAGGTTTCTCACCAGCATGAATTCTCTGATGTTGAATAAGTCATATCCTCTGAATGAAGGCCTTTCCACATTCATTACATGCATAAGGTTTCTCACCAGTATGAATTTTCTGATGTCGAATAAATCCTGTCCCCTGGCTGAAGGGCTTCCTATATTGAGTACATTTGGAAAGCTTCTCTTCACCATCATTATTTCTTGGGAAATATCTTATTTAAACATATTTTATTACTTTTTCTTAAATCTGAATATGTTCTGAAGCATTTTTTCTTTGTACAACTGTTACTGAGACTCTTTTTTTTCCTCTGCTCTGGAAGATTTATGACTGGCTCTAGAATGAAGCTTCTGCAATATTTATTATATTCATGATACTTCTTCTGAGTCATTTTTGCTTGCTGAAAATATTTTTCCTCATTGCTCCATTGTTTCTTTAACTTGCCATCATATTCCCAAGCTTCTTGAAATTTCAAAAAAACAAGAACCATCCTTTGAGACTCTTTCCTGAGTTGATTCTTCCAATAAAATACACAATTCCTGGACTGACTCATTGGTTTTGTGATAAGGCCCTGGTCTGAAAGAAATGAAAAATGTAAATGTCTTTTGCTTCATGAGTTTTATACACAGTCCTGTCTTCCTTGTCTTTCATCAAGAAAAACCATTCCCTATTTTATGCCAAACTGCTACCCAGTTTCCAAGCAGATTTTGTCAAAGAAAGAGTTCTTACATTGATGTATTTTCTTCAGTTGATCTAATGCCAGATTGATAGATGTTAATAGATGTATTTCCTTTTAGATCTATTTGCTCTAGTTTATTCTACTAAACTAGATTTTAAACCCATATGAGATTATTTTTAGAATGATTGCCTTTTCATATAATTCTGAGAACTTGTAATGACAGTGCCTCTTCACCCCTGCCTTTATTCATTATTTCCTTCAGTATTCTTGGCTTTCTGTTCTTCCATGAGAATTCTTATTGTTTCATCAAAAATCCATCAAGTATTCCTTTTGTAACATGACTGAAATAGCTTTAAATCTTGTATCTAATTTAGATATGACTAGTGAACCTACAAATAAGACCTCCATGTAGTGACAAAATGAAGGAATAATCTGAAGATAAAGAATGAACCAAACTAGGTAAACAAAAAATACACAGATCAGAAGAGAATAAGGAAGAAAACAAGGTATCTGTTATTTTATTTAATACACAAAATGCTAAGTTGAGTTGTGATCTCACTGGGGCCTCCAGAAGGTGCCTCCAACTAAAGATGTAAAGCTCTATAAATACCGGACTATCCTGTGTGAAGGTTGTATGTACATGAACTCCCCTTAATTCACAACAAGGTATTCAGTCAGCAGGCTGGGGGTCTTCCCCACATACTCTTACATGATAAGGATACCAACGGATCACAATTGTCCTAATTATCCTTCACGCTCACCACATGATCAGCTCATTTTCTTTTTCAATTTTACATTTCTTTGATTACATCCTTCACTCTGGTTTTGACTCATAGTCAGTTTCTTATCGGTGTTAGGTCATAGTCAGCTTACATCCACCCAGGGACTCTCCCTTGCCCTCTCAGTGAAACTCACTTTTAGTTTATCAAAGACCATGTTATTCCATGACTCAGTCAAATAACACAGGAAGAATACCAGCATTAAAAAGATGGGTCTTTGTTTCAAGAGTAATGATGGAGTCATCAAACAAACTTTGTGATTATCCAAAGGTAATCCACCTGCCTAATTTTTGGCTTAACTCACAATCTATGTGCAGTATCTGTTACATATTAAGGCAAAGCAAGGCAACAAACAGTAATGGTTCATTAAGTGCTAGGCATTGTGCTAAGCACAAGGGATACACAAGCAAATGAACACAAGCACAAAGACAGTCCCTGCCCACAAGGATGTAACATCTTAACGAGGGAAGACAATGCATAAAGGAAACTAAAACTGGGGGGCCGCAATATGGCACAGTGGATAGAATGCTGGGCCTGGAATCAGGAAGTCCTGAGTTCAAAGCCAGCTTCAGACACTTCCTAGCTATGTGACCCTGGGCCAGACACTTACCCCTGTTTGTCCCAGTTTCCTCATCTGTAAAATGAGCTGGAGAAGAAAATGGCAAACCACTCCAGTATGTTTGCCAAGAAAACCCCAAACGGGTTCACAAAGAATTGAAATGGCTGAACAAAGACCAGAAAAGCTGGACGGGTGGGGGAGAATTACCAAGGGAAGTCACAGCAGCAAAGTCCTTGCTTAGAAGTACAGGCAGGAGGGGAATGCAGCACACACGTTTTTGAACACATGCGTGTACATGTACATATATGCATATGAGTTTGTGTGTACATATACCCTTCTGAATGAGATCTATGGGTTGTCTCTTTAAACCACAAGTCATAGACTTGACAGCAGACATTTTTCTTCCTCTTAGATTTCACTGTGTGCATAGTGAGGTCAAACTCTTTTAAGTGGTTATTGATCTCATCCAAGAGATGTTCCGGGGTTAAATGTAACCAACACAACATCATCTACAAATGGAAATGTCTGAAGGGCTTCACCTTCTTCCACCGATGCCCTGCGCTCGAGCTCCCCCATGACAGCAGCTCCCTCCTTCAGTGCGCATCTGCCTCCACATTTGTATCTGGTTTGATCTTAGGAATCAAAGGGTCTTCAAACAAGATTTTCTTTGCTGTAATATCTTTACAGGATCACACAGTTTTCATGTCTGCATGGAGGTCTTCTAATATAGGCTGCATGAGCACTTGGTCATGTTGTAGGGGGGGCTTCCTTTCAGGTATGAGTTGGACTAAATGAGCACTGAAATCCCTTCCAACTCAAATGGAGGAGCTTATTAGGTGCCATTTTGTTCTACTGAGGTAAATATACTTTCACTGTCAAGAAACAATAAGAGCCCAAAGGGACCTCTGAAGCCACCTCGTTCAACCACTCATTTTAGTTTATTTTAATCTCATTTTAAATATTTTGAACTTAAGCACAAAACCCAGCCACGTTTCACGTAGACAGAACACAAAAAGGAGATTGTGTATGAAACCATGAATCTCCATTTCTAACACTCGTTTCATTTCATATAATACTTTCAGTTTTAAAAATATATTTTATCTTTTTTTCCACCACCAGAATTTTTCTAATATCAGTCTCCCTCTCTCTTTCCAGAGCCATTCCACAGGACAAAATATTATTAAGGGAAAAAAAAGAGAGAAAAAAAAATCAGTAACACCAAGAAATGTGTCAAAAAGTCTGAAAACATATACGATATTCCACACCTATGGACCTCTCATTTCTGCAAAGGAGTTGCGGGGAGGGCCACTTCTTACAGATTTTCTTTGGAGCCATACTTATTCTTTATAACTTTGCAACATTCATGCTTTAATTTTTTTGTGTGTGTGATTCTTTCCATTTACATTGTCACAGTTACTATGTATATGGTTTTCTTGGCTCTCCTTACTTAACTCTACATCAGTTCCTGTAGTTCTTTCTAAGCTTCTCTGTATCTATCGCATACATCATTACTTACCACACAGTATATTCCATTCCACTGATGTACCACAATTTGTTTATCCAATTCTCCAATCATGGAGCATTGATTTTGTTTCCAGTTTTTTGTTACCACAAAAAGCTATAAATATTTGGGTGTGTAATATGGGGACTTTCTTCTTTTCAGTGACCTCCTTAGGGTATATGTCGAGTGGTTAAACTTTACTTTCAAAAGTGTTCTTCTTGTCACGTCTTTCTTCTGTTCTCTTCTGAGAATTTTAAAAGATGTTTCAGTTGGCACTCATTTGCTTTTTGTTTGGCATCAATTTTGTTAACTTCTCCTCTCTCTCTCATTCCCAGTGCTCCTGAACCCCAATTTCAAAATGGTAAAGAAAAAAAGACCTTTGTGTTAAATAAACAGTCAAGCAAAAATGCTAATAATATTAATAATAATAATAATGATATGTAGCATTTAAATAGTGCCTACTTTGTGCTAGGCACTTTACAAATATCATCCTAGTTGATCCCAATAGCCCTGGGAAATAGGTGTTATTATTATCTCCATCTCATAACTGACAGAACTGAAGCAAATGGCTGTTAAATGATTTGCCTGAGGTAACTCTGTGGTTTTTGTTTGTTTGTTTGTTTGGTGCAGTTCTGGTGTGAAGAAGCCATTTACTCCAGTTTCTCAGTGGATTTCTTAATCATTATTTGGTCTGGTGTAAATTTCAGGTTTTTGCTGGAATAGATCTGGGGGAGCTGGGCAGCCTGCTTCTATTTAAGAACCCATCTTGACTGGAAGACCCTCAACCCCTCATTTTAAATATGACAAAACTCCTGAACTTGAGCAAGGTTACAGACAGTGATCATTAGAGGCGTTGTTTGAACTTATGTCCTCTGGCCCCAGAAGCGGTATTCTGTGTTTATGTGTGCCACACAATGGGCTCACCCACCTGCATAGCTGCTGCTTGGGCCTGCCCCCGTCTGGCATCCAAGGCGCACACCTGTGCTCTAACTGGTAGATTACATCAGATTTGGAAACTGTCAGTGCTTTTCAATGAAGATGGGAGAGGGCTCAGCATAGGGCACTGATGATGCAATCCTCACCCTGCCTGTCTCCTGTCTCTCTCTCTGAGGATCACCTGGCAGTCTGGAAGACTAGGGTGAGGGTCGGAGGGAGTAAACCAGACCCTTCGAGGACATTTTGTATCGTGAGAAAGTACTAGGGGGGAGGGCACCAGAATGGATTTGGGGTCAGAAAAAGGATTTTTCATTTGATCTTGCTAAAAGGCTAGGAACCACTCATGTATTCATACCTGTCTGCACTGGGACTTGTTACTGCAAGGATCTTTCTCCTTTAGGGTGTGGAGGAAAAGTGGGTTTAAACCTCAAGGATCCTGGGCTGAAGCCCAAAGCACAATCTGTCCCATCAGAGCGGGCATCTTACGTGTCTGCACTGAAAGAGGATGAGCTGTACAAGGAAGCAGAGCCCCCCCAGGGGGAGATTCCAAGACCTGGGGTGCCCCCTCCTCACCCAGACACACCGTGTGGATGCAAAATAACAGCGAGTCCACACTGAAAGAGGACCAGCTGCAGGAGGAAGCAGAGCCCCCCCAGGGGGAGATTCCAAGACCCAGGCGCCCCTCCTCACCCAGACACACCAGGTTCTGGTAGTTCTCCAGCATCACCTCCCGGTAAAGCTCCTTCTGGGCAGGGGCCAGCTGCCCCCACTCCTCCCAGGAGAAGTCCACAGCCACGTCCTTGAATGTGACTGATTCCTAAACAGCAAATACAAATTCCTGTTTGTACAGGAACCATCTCTCACCAAGATCTAGTGGAAAAGCAAAGTGGGCAGGAACAGTATAGATGAGTTCTCCAGATGATTCCGGCTTTGGTGCATGAGTGTGGAGAAAGTGTTTGAGTTTGTGCTGGCTCCTAAGTGGATACCCCAAGCAATAATAAGAGTTCATAATCACATGGGACTTTTCCACAAGTACCAAGCTCACAATGACCTTGTGAGGCAGGCAGTCAAAGCAAGCATTCATCATCCCCAGGAGAGAGACAAAACTGAACTTGGGAAACGAGGGCAAGAAGAAAACTTTGGTACCCTGCATCAAGTCAACATAAAAGAAATGGTCCCCAAACCCAGGTTTCTAAGCCCCAGGACCACACTCTTTATACTCTACCCTTGTGCCTGTTGCGATACTGCCTACATCATTGCCTGAGCACTGATGTAACCCCACCCTCAGACCAGAAAGAAAAAATTCAGGTATAAAGGACCCGCATGATTTAGCAACCACCACTGCACAGGAGAAGTGAGTTTAGTATACAGTATTACAGAAGGCAAAAGATACAGGAGTACAGCCAAGAATAACAAGTTATTCTTACAAGCAAAAAAAAAATGGATCTTTAATGAAATACAGGACTTTCAAGCATTTCTGCTGAAAGGAACAGAACTGTGTAGAAACTCTGAAATCCAAAGACAGGACTTAAGTGAAACATAAAGGAAAACATGAACATTCATAAGTAGCTAAACAAAGAAAACCTAACTGATATAAAGAAAAGATAAATGAAAACAACATAAACAAGGCACTAAATTTAAGCAACCTTAAACATTTCTGTCAGAGCCTGAAAAAACAAACAGAAATATAAAGAGAAATTTATAAACAGAATGTTGGAAAACATGGACTCAATAGCCCAATGGAGAATTCTCAATGAAAATCTTAGAGAATATATGTCCCATGATCATTACAGAAAAGGCAACCAAATGCTAGAGCGTGAGGAGCTCCATAAAGAAGGGCAGAAACTGGAAACCCGTTTTCTGATTTCGAGGTAGTTACTGGACACAGCCCTGGGCCTGGAGTTGGGAGAGCCTGAATTCTAATCCAGCCTAAGATGTTTCCTGGCTGGGTGACTCTGGGCAAGTCACTTCACCTGTTTGTCTCAGTTTCCTCAACTGTAAAATGGGGATAATAGCAGCAGCTCCTTTACAGGGTTGTTGTGAGGATCAAATGAGATAATATTTATAAAGCCTCAGCACGATGCCTGGCACATAGTAGGCATTATATAAATACTTATTCCCTTCCCTCCCTGAGGCTACAATGTAATTAACATTGCAACCAATAAAGGACATATGAACAAATGATGAAATGGTAAACGAGATAAAAAAAAAATGACCCCCAAAACAATGAGTGGGTCAAAGACCATCACAGAAACAATTCAAAATTACATGAGAAAGAATAAGCACCGGGGAGGGGGCAGAGCCAAGATGGCGGCGTGAAAGCAGTGACTTGCTTGAGCTCTCCCCCAGACCCCTCCAAATACCTGTAAAAATGACTCTAAACAAATTCTAGAGCAGCAGAACCCACAAAAAGACAGAGTGAAATAAATTTCCAGCCCAAGACAGCCTGGATGGTTGATGGGAAAGATCTGTTACTGGGCTGGGAGAGGAGTGTAATTTAGCATGGGCTGGGCCTGCAAAGATGGGGCCCTGGCAAACCCGGATCAGGCTTCAGGGGACTGAATCACAGGCCAGCTGGGGCAGTTTCCAGACTCCTTAACCCACAAACTCCAAAGACAATTTAGAAGGTCTGTAGGAAAGGTCTGTTGGACCTGGATGAGAGAGGAGCATAGTCCAGCCCCAGCCCTGGTGCAGCTCTAGGGTGGCAGCAGCAATTGCTTCCGGAGATGGTGGGGGTGTTGGACCTCGGTGAGAGAGAAGCTCAGTCCCAGCCCTGGCCTGGCACAGCCCCGGGGTGGTGGCTGCTTCTGGAGCTCTCAGCCCACAGATACAGGGGGAATCAAGTGGCTGATCAGAGGGGGATTGCAGGGATCTCTTTGCTGGCACTGAGGCAGATTCTCTTCCTTTGTCCATGCTTGGATCTGGGTCACAATTCGGGGTGATGGTCCTGGGGCAAGGAGGAGTACTTGTGTGGTGGAGCTTGTGGTGATGGAGAGAGAATCCTCCTCACAGTTCTAAGACAGAAAAGAGTGCTTGTGGTCACCCATCGACCAGAGCACAGGCCAGAAAAGGAGTAAACACCTCACCTTTGATCCTACCACCTTGGAAGAACTGAAAATGTACAGGTCCCTAGAGGTATCTCTGAAAACAGCTATACAAAACCCCTGAAGCTTGGGATAGTACACCCTCCACACTGGAAGCGGAGCCCTACCTCAATAAAGAATTAAAAAGTCAAGTAATTGGCTGGGAACATGCACAAACAGTAAGAAAAACTCAGGCCACAGAATCTCACTTTGGTGACAAAGAAGATCAAAACATAAAACAGAAGAAGACAACAAAGTCAAAGCTCCTACATCCAAAGCCTCTAAGAAAAATATAAATTGGTCTCAGGCCATGGAAGAGCTCAAAAAGGGTTTTGAAAAGCAAGTAAGAGAAGCAGAGGAAAAATTGGGAAGAGAAATGAGAGCAATGCAAGAAAATCATGAAAAACAAGTCAACAGATTGTTAAAGGAGAGCCAAAAAAAAAAATACTGAAGAAAAAAAACACCTTAAAAAATAGACTAACCCAAATGGCAAAAGAGGTCCAAAAAGCCAATGAGGAAAGAATGCCTTAGTTCTGCTAATTTCACTCTTCATTTTTTCACACAGGTCTTTCCATGTTTTTCTAAGACTATTGAGCTCATCATTTCTTTCTTTTTTGTGTGTGTGTGAGGCAATTGGGATTAAGTGACTTGCCCAGAGTCACACAGCTAGGGAGTATAAGAGAATGCCTTAAAAAGCAGAATTGGCCAAATAGAAAAGCAGGTCCAAAAGCTCACTGAAGAAAATAATTCCTTAAAAATTAGAATGGAGAAAACGGAAGCTAATGACTCTATGAGAAATCAAGAAATTGTAAAACAAAGCCAAAAGAATGGAAGAAAATAGAAGACAATGTGAAAAATCTCACTGGAAAAACAACTGACCTGGAAAATAAATCCAGGAGAGAGAATTTAAAAATTACTGGACTACCTGAAAGTCATGATCAAAAAAAGAACCTACACATCATCTTTCAAGAAATTATCAAGGAAAACTGCTAGATATTCTAGGTACCAGAGGGCAAAAGAGAAATTCAAAGAATCCACCCATCACCTCCTGAAAGGGATCCCAAAAGGAAAACTACTAGGACTATTACAGCCAAATGCCAGAGTTGCCAGGTCAAGGAGAAAATAGTGCAAGCAGCCAGAAAGAAACAATTCAAGTATTGTGGAAACACAATCAGGATAACACAAGATTTAGCAGCTTCTACATTAAGGGACTGGAGGACTTGGAATATGATATTCTGGATGTCAAAGGAGCTAGCATTAAAACCAAGAATCACCTACGCAGCAAAACTGAATATAATCCTTCAGGGGGAAAATGGATATTCAATGAAATAGAGGACTTTCAAGCATTCTTGATGAAAAGACCAGAGCTGAATAGAAAATCTGACTTTCAAATACAAGACTCAAGAGAAGCATGAAAGGGTAAACACAGGAAAGAGAAATCATAAGGGACTTATTAAAATTGAACTGTTCACATTCCTACATGGAAAGATGATATTTGTAACTCATGAGACCTTTCTCAGTATTAGGGTAGTTGGAGGGAATATATATATATATACGTGTGTGTATATATAGATATAGATAGATATGAACAGAAGGCACAGGGTGAGTTAAATATAAAGGGATGATATCTAAAAAATAAAATCAAGGGGTGAGAGAGGATTGTATTGGGAGAAAGAGAAAGGGAGAAGGAGAATGGGGTAAATTATCTCACATAAAAGAGGCAAGAAAAAGCTTTTACAGTGGAGGGGAAGAGGGGAGAGGTGAGAAGGAATGAGTGAATCTTACTCTCATCAGATTTGGCTTAAGAAGGGAATAACATATATCCAATGGGGTATAGAAATCTATTTTACCCTACAGGAAAATAGGGGGGAAGGGGAAAAGAGAGGGGGGATGATAGAAGGGAATAATCAGAAGCAAACACTTCTATGGAGGGACAGGGTCAAAGGAGAGAATAGAATAAATGGGGGTGGAATAGGATGGAGGGAAATATAGTAAGTCTTTCACAACATAACTATTATCGAAGTGTTTTGCATGACTACACATGTATAACCTATATCAAACTGCTTGCCTTCTCAATGAGGGTGGGTGGGGAGGGAGGAAGGGAGAGAATTTGGAACTTAAAGTTTTAAAAATGAATGTTTAAAATTGTTTTTACATGCAGCTGGGAAATAAGATATATAGGCAATGAGGTACAGAAATCTATCCTTCCCTATAGGAAAATAGAAGGAGAAGGGGATTAGAGAAGGTGAGGGGGTGATAGAAGGGAGGGCAGATTGCGGGAAGGGGTATTCATAATGCATGCCATCTTGTTGTGGGCGGAGGGGAGAGATGGGGAGAAAATTTGGAACTCAAAATCTTGTGGAAGTGAATGTTGGAAACTAAAAACAAATTAATTAATAAAAGAAAAGAATAATCACAAGACCACCTACGAAATACTGAGATGCTCTTTCAGGAAGGAGCAAGTGCCCACTTACCTGATGGGCCTGGGCGGTCAGGTAGATAGGGGCCATTCTCTTCCCTTGGAGTTGCTTTCTCTTGGGGAAGAGCTGGGGAAAAAGGGGAACTATGAGAGAGAAACTGGGCCTTCCCTGTGGCCCCCAGACCCAGGCACTGGAAGCCCCTCACAAGCCTCCACTCAGGTGAAGTCAGAAGAAGGCTCTCACTACGTCCTAGGCACCACGTTTGGTGCTCCAGGCGTAGACAACTCTCAGAGAGCTTACAGTGATGACGCCGG